TGTTATTATTATTATTATGATAATTGAGATGAGCAGAGTACACAGTACTATAAGCTCATGCAGTAAATATAGTGTACGGACACGTAACACAAATACATCAAATAGAAAAAAATAAAAAAAGACAGTTCATAGCTATAAAGTTTGTACACTCCTCCAGCTATCATACTGCACTTTGAAGCTATTAACTGAAGTAGCACCAACCGCACTTTCAGGTAAACTATTCCAGGTGTTGAATATGCGGTTGGGAAGAAACCACTGTCGGACTGTTGTTTTAAATGGCTCCTTATGCAGTTTGAAGCTGTGTCCGCGTAGATTGCTGCGCGACAGACGGTATAGATGCATGAGGTTGGTGCCCATCAAACCATGAAGTATCCTGAACGTAACTATAAGATCGCCACGAAGTCTTCGCTCGGAGAATGAGGTCAGGTTGAATAAGTCAAGGCGATCTTCATAGCTTGGTCTTCGTGCTCTAAAAGGGATACGAGTAGCCCGACGAGATTTCTATCGCGCAGAAGCACAGTGTCCCATACCGGGCCAGCGAATTCAAGAATTGGCCTCACGAATGCCTTGTAAATGTAGGCGCAAGTGTTGACATCGGATCCTTTGAAAGACCTCTCCAGCATGTATAGAAGTTTCTTGGCTTTTGATGTAACGTGGTGAATATGCTCTGACCAGGAAAGACGATCGTTGACTACAACGCCCAGATCAGCGTGGCTGGAAACTGCTTCGATGTTGTGGTCAGAGATCTTGTATGTAAATCGCGGATTTGTCTTCCCGAGGTGAAGGACACAACACTTAGTTAGATTTAAGGGTAAAAGCCAACTGACTGACCATTGACAAACAATATCAAGATCTCGTTGAAGCATAGCAGAATTTACGACAGTATTGTAAATCTTGGTGTCGTCGGCATAAGCTGAACATGTGGAGGAAATCAATGCGGGCAGGTCACTTGTATACAGAAGGAACAGCACTGGCCCCAAGACAGAGCCTTGAGGAACTCCACTTGCTACATGATGAATGTGAGACTGGCTATCACTGACGCGCACAGAGAAAGTCCTCCCGGTGAGAAAAGCCTTAATCCACAGTAACAACTCGCCTCTTATTCCCATACATTCCAACTTAAACAGAAGCCTTCTATGTGTACGCGATCGAAAGCCCTTGAAAAATCTAAGTAGATTATATCAACAGGAGTCTTTGTGTCCAGATACTGAGTCCAATCGTTGAGAGAGTGGAGAAGGTTGGTCATTATTGATCGACCAGGGAGAAATCCATGCTGATTCTTAGGGATAAGGTCATTTTCGAAAGCAAATGACACGAGCTTATCTAATATGATTCCTTCAGCTATTTTGGCGGCGATAGGAACAAGACTTATTGGTCGATGATTTTTAGCGGAGGATTTGTCGCCCTTTTTGAATACAGGGCTAACAGAAGCACTAAGCCAGCATGAGGGTAGGGTATGAGATCTAAAAGACGATGTGAATATCAAGATTAATGGTAGAGCCAGTGCTGAAGCGGAGTTTTTAAGTACAGCAGCCGTCATCCCATCTTTAACAGGGGAGGAAGAGGTCTTCAGATTTCGCAGGTGCATTAATACATCTTCAGGCAGAGAACTCAACTTCGCTAAGGCTGTTGGGACACCTATGGCAGATAGTGGTCGGTAGAAGGTCTCCATTAGGCTCATCGTCATCACTAAAGGACTCTGCCAGTAAGTTGGCAGATTCGGTGGCATCCATGTGGAGATGACCGTCAGCGTCGCGGATCTGAGGTGATGAAACTTTGGAATTCAGGTTTGTTCTTAGATACCGAAACAGCTTCTTCTTATTTTTGGAGGTAACGAGTTTTCGTTCATAAGCATGTTTGGCATTATGTAACGTTCTAGATAGGAGGTTAGAAAAGGATCGATGAGACACGTAATCTTGTGAATGGCCACTCCTCCTAAACCGTTGCCACAAAGATCTCTTGTGACGAAGCATCCTCGATGTTGTGTTGTTTGAGCCAGTTTTGGGTTATCCCTTAAGTAATGGCATGATGCTAGTTGTGGCCAAAACATGATATGGTCACTATCATGATGTTCGTGGACAAACTGATGCAATTTGGAAAGGCAGTTATCAAAATAGATGACTATTCAAAGCTTCAACCCTCACTTCTCACAAAAGGTTGGGATACACCCCTCTTAGAAACTGCGTACTAGGCAAGGATTTTACCTGCAAATTTCGCTTTCTGATTGGGGAATTCCTCTACGTTTTCCGTATAAAGTCCGTCGTTTCCTTTCGTTTTAGAATCACTTTTCGTCATCTAAAATAATGATAATACTAAGTGACATATAAATCCGAACACCCAGTTTAAATGGTTTTATTTTAATAAAAGTTGGTGAATGTATTTATCTTACTGCAAATAACAAGTGAAAAAATTTTCAGCCTTATCAGTTGGACATTCCGGTTTTTATACTGCTTTTTTTTAATTCACTAACGCTCTAAAAATGAACATTTCAGCCGCAGTAAAGATTCAACGTTGGCGGATTTTGGTTCTTGACATCCTTTACGATCGGTTACGATGCCTAGAGTACGATTTCGTCAACTTAGTGAGTTTGATAGGGGCCGTATAGTGGAACTTCGGGAAGCTGGACTTTCTTTTCGGGCAATTGCAGTTAGAGTGCAAAGAAGTGTAGACACTGTGGTTAGGTGTTGTCAGGCATGGCTTCGAGAAGGCCGTACGCAAAGAGCAAGGGGCACTGGACGCCGCCGTAGAACAACAGACCGTGAAGATCGCCGCCTAAGATTATTGGCCTTAAGGGACCGTTTCTCCACTACCAGGTCCATTGCAAATGAATGGTTTGCAGAACACGGAAGACCTATTGAAATGCGAAGTGTTTACCGACGAATGAGAAGTTTTGGCTTGTTTTCATACCGGCCTCCCTTTAACTCGAGAACACCGACGTAATCGCCTTGAGTGGTGCAGACAACGGTCACTCTGGGATCAGGAATGGAATAGTATTGTCTTTAGTGACGAGTCTCGATTTTGTTTAGGCATGCACGATGGTCGTGACAGGGTTAGAAGGCGACGTGGTGAAAGGAGGAATCCACAGTTTTTTGTTGAAAGACATGTTCATCACACTGTTAGAGTTATGGTTTGGGGTGCTATAGCTTATGGTTCCAGGTCACCTTTAATCTTCATCAGAGGTAACATGAATGCGCAGCGTTATATCCACGAAGTTCTAGAACCCCATCTTTACTCTATCTTGACACCCTGGCAGATCCAAATTTCCAACAAGATAATGCCCGACCACATGTTGCAAGAGTCACAATAGACTTCTTTCAACATAATGATGTCACATTGTTACCATGGCCATCAAGATCTCCCGACTTATCCACAAATAAAAATACGTTTATTATTATAAAAAAAATAATTTCCAAAAGAAACGTTTCCACACATTCCTTCTGCGGTCCAGGGATATGCAATTAAGTGGACTTTTTTTTCTGGAAAACCAAGCAAGATACGAAAAAAGTTCAAGAGGCAAAAACGTTGTACTTACATTTGCTTAATCCAGAGAACAGAATAAAATTGCATAAAAGTCAGTGGCGTACATGGACATGGACTTAATAAATTTAATCAAGTTAGTGCTAAATTAGCTCCGTAATGTTATGAATACCACCGCCAAATTACAACGAAATGAGATAAAGGATATTTAAGATGTTTACGAAAAGAATTTTTTTAAATTTAACAGCCTGTATCTTGAGAACGAAGAAGAATTTGTATGAACTTTTTGTCTTAAAATTACTCAAAGGATCGTCTGTCAAATTACTTAATTAACACCCTGTATGTCTCTTTTGAGAATAGTAAAAGATTCTATCCAAGTAGTGGATCGAGGGAGAGATTATAATCTTTATCCATTTGTTTATTTCTATTTACAAGATCTCTCGAAATTTATCGATTATTCGATGTTCTGCGCACGCTTCAAGGTTGTTCAAACATTTTCAAAAATTCATTTAGAATAAGACTGATTTTTCGAGACATATCATATTGGAATTATGATTTTATATAAAATGACTTGTGGTTGGTGTTTCAGTTTATTGTTGTCTAACTTTAAGATTCGATAGAACTTTTAAAATTAATGCATAAAGTCTATATAAACATGGGTCGAAAAATGCGTGGCTTCCGAAATACAGGGTGTTTAAATTTACTTTTTAAAATAGTTTTTTTTAAATATTTCGAACGATATTTGATGTATATAACAGTGAAAATTGGTATACAAGGGTTTTTTGGTACGACAAAACGAACCATGGGCATAGTTTTACTGTAGCCGCTAGAGGGCGCTCTCTACTGTACCTGTAGTGTATTAAAATGACCGAAAAATTTTTCTTAGTGCAATTTTTTGCTTTTTGAATAAAAAAACTGATTCTTCGCACTTTTCTGCATAAAAAAGCTCTCTTGTGAGTTTTCGTTATAGTTAGCCGTTTTTGAGATATTTCGATTTTTAAGGTTCGATGCATTTTATTACAGTAGAGAGCGCCCTCTAGCGGCTACAGTAAAACTATGCCCATGGTTCGTTTTGTCGTACCTAAAAACCCTGGTATACCAATTTTCACTGTTATACATCAAATATTGTTCGAAATATTCAAAAAAAACTATTTTAGAAAGTAAATTTGAACACCCTGTATTTCGGAAGCCACGCATTTTTCGACCCATGTTTATATAGACTTTATGCATTAATTTTAAAAGTTCTATCGAATCGTAAAGTTATGCAACAATAAACTGAAACACCCTGTATACTTGTATAGACTTGAACATTATTAGGCAATGGTCACAAATCACATTTTACGGCTCTATTCTTATTCATGTTTGTATTTTTATTTTATAGCTGAGTTGAAAGATACCTTAAGGTAACACTCCCGCATTTCCATTCCTTATGTTCAAATTTTGAATACCTCACCTTACCCAAAATAAATATGTACATATTTGTAAAAGAATCTCAGGCATATTATTATTATAGTTGATATGTAAACTTACGTTTCTAGATACTGGAAAATCCTGTAGACCGGTTTGCGATACATGAGAAATCCTTCGACTTTTTCCACCATCACTGCACCATAATCAAAACATATAAAACCAAAAAATCACTATTCCATCCGAAACGTTCAAGGCACTTTTCAGTTTTGCGCATCATAACACTGAATCACAATAACGATATGCAGGCTATCGCGTTCCTCACATTGCGCTATTACAAAAAGATTGTTTAGAAAAATACTATTTTTCGAACGAGTATTCAGCGCCCGAGGTTCGTGTGACGAGTATCAAGATATTAGAGACCAACTTATGGACAATGATTTTTTTTATGTTAAGCACCGCAAAGGTCTTAACTTTTGGAAATTATTAGGTTTACATTTTCCAGTAAAAATAAATGTAGAATCGATTTTTTACGATTTTCTGCAATAACAAATTAATTGTTTCGGATTATTTGACCTGATAAGGTTTCATTTTGAAGGTATTTTCATCTCCAAAAATTTTTTTGGAACACTTACACCAATAATTCATAACTATTTGAAAATACGCGAAAAGGCAGTTTGTCCAACTTTGACGTTAAATAACTGTGTTTAATTGCTAACCATTTATTTTATTTTACATCCTCAACCCACTACAATCAAAATATGGTCTCCAGCTCCCAATTGCGAAAAATACGATTCTGAAGAAATTTTTCAATTCTTTTTCAACCTAAATAAAAAATATAACTCAAAAGTATTGAAATGCGATGTTTACGTGCAACTTTGCGCGTACTTATATTCTAAGAAAATTATTCCATCTAAACAATCTGGATTTCGACAAGGTCATACAGCTTCGGTACTCTTGTGTATAAATGCAGTTATTATGGGATTTCTGAAAACCTCTTTGGTTTATTCAAACCTATCTTCAAAATGCATTTCAAAAAGTTCGTCTAAGTCAACTGGATTCTACCGCACAAAAAATTGTTCTGGTGTGCCACAGGGATCTGTGTTAGGACCCCTATTATTTTCGTTATATATATTTAGAAACAGAGGTAAAATCATGCAGTATAGAATTTTCTGCCGACGATACTAAGATTTTCTATTCATTTAAGAGTAATGTCTTTTAAAAAGGAAAAAAATTTTCTGCCTTATCAGTTGGACATTCCGGTTTTTTACTGCTTTTTTTTAATTCACTAACGCTCTAAAAATGAATATTTCAGCCGCAGTAAAGAATCAACGTTGGCGGATTTTGGTTCTTGACATCCTTTACGATCGGTTACGATGCCTAGAGTACGGAGACCTGTACGATTTCGTCAACTTAGTGAGCTTGATAGGGGCCGTATAGTGGGACTTCGGGAAGCTGGACTTTCTTTTCGGGCAATTGCAGTTAGAGTGCAAAGAAGTGTAGACACTGTGGTTAGGTGTTGTCAGGCATGGCTTCGAGAAGGCCGTACGCAAAGAGCAAGGGCCACTGGACGCCGCCGTAGAACAACAGAACGTGAAGATCGCCGCCTAAGATTATTGGCCTTAACCGTTTCTCCACTACCAGGTCCATTGCAAATGAATGGTTTGCAGAAGACGGAAGACCTATTGGCATGCGAAGTGTTTACCGACGAATGAGAAGTTTTGGCTTTTTTCATACCGGCCACACTGGGTCCTCCCTTTAACTCGAGAACACCGACGTAATCGCCTTGAGTGGTGCAGACAACGGTCACTCTGGGATCAGGAATGGAACAGTATTGTCTTTAGTGACGAGTCTCGATTTTGTTAAGGCATGCACGATGGTCGTGCCAGGGTTAGAAGGCGACGTGGTTAAAGGAGGAATCCACAGTTTTTTGTTGAAAGACATGGTCATCACACTGTTGGAGTTATGCGCAGCGTTATATCCACGAAGTTCTAGAACCTCATCTTTTACCCTATCTTGACACCCTTGGCAGATCCAACTTTCCAACAAGATAATGCCCGACCACATGTTGCAAGAGTCACAATAGACTTCTTTCAACATAATGATGTCACATTGTTACCATGGCCACCAAGATCTCCCGACTTATCCCCATTGAGCACGTGTGGGATATGATGGGTAGCAGATTGCTCAATTTGCAACGTCCTCCTCAGACTCAGCACTTCGAGAGGAATGGTTAAAAGGTTGTTGTTGGCCATAGGACATTCGGTGGAATATTTTGAAAGCACCCCACATTTTTGAAAAACATTGCTATAGTGTTTGTCAGGATTGAAGAGAAATAAGTAAACTGCTTGGGTGAATTGAAGTACCTTAAACACTTAAAGTGTCAAATGGCTTTTGGAAATAGGCTGACAACTTGAAATTGTTATGCATGTATCTTGGGCTGTATGCTCTTAAGCACACACACCTGCATTTTTCGTGCGGATATAAACGTTTCATTAACAACAATGAAAAACGGGACTTCCAGCTGCATATCTAGAGATGCCAGAACGATCATAAAGAAAGAAAAGACAGCGCATATAGTGATTCTTTAAGTATATGATCTTGTTACTTTTTTAATATATCCTTAAAAATAAAAGTTTTTTTTCTAAACCGTAACTAATTTTTATTCATTGTTATTTTTGGATCAGCGTCCCAAATTAACAAAGAAGTCACTTTTCCCACAAGATACAATTAAAAATAAAATTTGTTGTCCAGTGACCTGAGTTTGAACCCTTTAAAGACAAATATGTTGGTATATGCAAACAAAACAAAATTTTTTACTCGTAAACTATCTAATTTCTCAGTGTTTTTCTCAGAGTTTTATTTGCAAAGAAGGCTATATTACATAAATATGCGAGAAAGCACTTGTGTGAATCTTTTTTGTTTTAAAAAATATCATATTGACTATCCCTTAGAAATCGTATTAAAAGTATTATGAATACATGTTGCCGATTTGTACATGATCTCAGAAAATATGATCATATATCGAAGTCCATTATTGGCCCCTAGTCTGCTCATAAGGTTCTTTATTCAAAAACACCGATACATTTAGTAACAAAATTCATATCCAGATGAATTAAGCATGGCATTAATATTAGATATAGAGAGACTTTTTCAATTCCACGCTGCAACACATCTCTATTTCAGAATACAGATATGTACAATTGGATCAAATTATCTAAATATTCAGACCGTAGTTTAAAAGAAATTCATTACCAAAATTAAGGAAAAAATGAAAGAAAATCTATTTTTCAGCAGCGAACTCTGTTTTAACCCATAAGTGTTAATTAATTGTTACATTAATTATACTTTTTTTGTCGTTAATTTTCAACAAATTTTCAGTCTATATACATCTCATAATATTATTACAAATAAAAAATAGGTTGATTATTAATTATTATTATTATTATTATTGCCAAAATCAAATTCGCAACGAAAATGATTCAGTGCTTAGAACAGAAGCTTTCATCGCAAGCTACAACTATATCAATCATCTGCCCTGACTGTACGCACCTCATCATACACTTATTAGATATATTGATGCATTACACGTTAAGTTCGCTAATGATACAAGTTTCCATATAAGGCGCATTAGAAAATACGTTCAAAATTTATATCTGAATTATTCACAGGAAATGTTTACGCCGGAGGCTGAAATTGTTCATTTTCTGCGCAAAAAGGCTTGTCGAGGTCCACAACTCATAGAGAGGCCCAGAAACTGGGATTCAGCACTTGCAATGTAAGTTTTCTTATAAAAAAAGTGAAGTAAAAACCCTAAAGTTGCACAACTTGTTTATAGACCAAAGAAAAGCCGCTATTAACTCCACAGCAAAAGAAAAATCGGCTTAGATGGGCTAAAGAACATAGACATTGAGAGTTATTCGTAAAAAACTGAAGCATTCCATGTTGACTGTCTAATGAGAAAAGTGAAATTTCCAGCATCCATTATGGTCTGGGGCAGTATGTCATCAAAAGGAGTAGGAAAACTTCATTTTATTGATGGAAATGTGGCATACAAACAAATATTTGACAATTTTAACAGTGATGGAAGAATGTTTGACTACCGGCCAAGATTTTGTGTTTCAGCAAGATGGCGATATAATGGATGGAAGAAAATAATGTACCACTTTTGAAATGGGTTTCTAGCAGTCCAGATCTGTCACCTATTGAAACTTTGTGGCACGAGATGAAAAAGGTTTTACGACAACATCCTGCTCGTACAATCACCGAATTGAGACAAAAGCTTCAAGAAATATGGGATTGTTTTACACCAAATGTTTGCCAAAGCTTGGTTAACACTATGCCCCAAAGAATATCAGCCGTAAAAAAAAATAAAGGTGATGTTAACTTCGCGCATTTATTCGCACATTGTTTATTTGTTCAGATATTCTATTAGTTATAGGTCTAAGTGATTTCAAATATGTATTTTTTACGACCAGAGTGTATCTAAAATGTTTTTGAGAAAATCAATTGTTTTAGAAGTAAATATTTTCGTCATGTTTAGTTTTTAAAGGCATATTTTGGTACAAATCTTGAAGTGGGCCAACTGAAGTGGAAAGGGGCTCGTATATATATGAGAAAATGATCATGCGGAGAAAGGTATATAACACAAAATAGGAAAATAATCCGCAAAAAGAAAAAAAGTGGATTCGAGCAGAAAATGGGATTGGTAACCCGAGCGATACGTATTTTTGCTGGTTGGCTTCATCATTACTTGACAAGCTGAAGGCAGAGCTTGCGAAAAACGGCCACATCCGCAGAAAAAGAAAATCCTGTTTCGCCTTTTATTTTATTTATTTTCTCAGCTGTTGCCACGAATTATTTGAACTGTTTAACCAATCAAAAAAAAAACGTCTGGTACCTTTGTTAGGTCCAGCTGGAAATAATAGGAGCAATATGGTTTATGCACGATGGGGCTCCACCTCACTTCAGCACAGTAACTCGCCAATTTTTGGATGCAACTTTTCGAGAAAACGCGCAGGTCCACAGTCATGGCCACCTAGGTAACCAGATTTAAGTCCCTTAGATTTTTTCTTCGTGGGCATTTAAAGTCCCTCGTTTACAAAACTCCAGTCAACACTGAAGGAGAATTAACCCAAAGGATGCGAGATCAGAATATTTCAACGAGTTCAGCAATCAATGTTAACACGAGCTAATGATTACATTGATGTTGAAGGAGGGCATTGTCAGCAACTAATATAAGACTCGCGTCATTTTCTGTTAAATGTTTTCATTGAAATAAAAGTTTTAAAAAGACGTTTTTCCGGTTCGATTTTTTTTTAATTTCCAGCG